TGTCACAACTGGGCATTTTTCAAGGGCGATCGCTGAATCCGAAGGACCGTTGTGATCACTCTTGCTAAATGTACATTAGTAGCAAATCATATTTTTTCTACCGACGGAAACTAGACATTTAAAAACGCCAGAGATAGAGGTATGTCATGCTATCAGCAGATCACATAATCAACCCCCACATCTACTTAGGCTAGTATTTTGTAGCTAATTCGTAGTGAATTTGAAGTAAAAAAATTAACTTCGTAGAGCCTACCGATCTCGAGAAAACAGGCGATCTGCTAGCATGATATCATGCCAGCAGATCACACGCACGTTTTCACTGATCACAGGCTCAGACAAAATTTCAATTGGTAGGATATTTTGTAGCTAATTTGTAGTAAAACAAGTAGTGAATAAATAGCGATCTCGAGATAATCAATGGATCGGCTGACTCAAATCTTTTTTCTCTGCCAGTTCGAGGCTTAAGAAGGTTTGGAAGAAAAGTTAAAAATAAAGAAACGTGCTAAAAAAAAATGTATTTGAGCATATCAGAAGTGCACATGGATTTTTTCCGATTTTTTACCTGGGAAATTTTCGAGAAAAAAAAAGGTTAAATATTTACAGTTTAACAGGATCTCCTACGAGAAAATAAGGTTAGCTTGCCTTATAGTTGAAATAAGATATTTTATAAATGTCATAGAATAAAAAAAATATTTTTATAAATATCTTAGTACAAAAAAAAGATGCTCGACAAAGAAAAGCCATGCCAGGCATTTTTCATAAATATAACCAATTACAGTCGTACAGTTTCAAATTTGTAGAGTGCAAGAGGAGGTGCGCGGTGAAGAAGGTACATCTGCGCATGCCGGGGAACTGCCCATTCTTTGCCTTTAAGAATAATGCTCCCAAACCTTCTTTATAGCGACAATGATGTATTGTCCATCTAATGTATACGTAAGTTTAAAAACAGAAATCCAATATGTAGTAATATTATTATATATGTTTATGTATATTAATACTGTAAGTCTCAAATTGGTCGCGAATAAAGTTTTGAGTGATCGCTGGCACTCGGCTTGGCACACTTATCGAGAAATTCCCGAGGCTGGCCAAAATAAACTGGAGAGTCTTGTACCTCTTTATATTATAAATTTATTTCGCTGCCACCACCACCACCGTGTATAAGAATCGGCAATTTTCGAGGATAGGGCCCACCCACACAATCTTCTTACGCTCCCACACTTTTCTCAATATTCTCAAACTTACCTAAGTCAACTAAATAGTCTTTTATAGGTACAAGAATCCCAAATTTTCAGGAGTAGAGCCTATCTACGCCATTCCCCTACACTCCCGCACTTACGTGAACATTACCTATAGCCGAAGTCGACAGAATAGTCTTTTTTATGTACTAAACTCATTTCAAAAACTGTCACCACCACCGCGACTGTAGTGTACAAGACCAAATCCACCCACGCAATTTAAATTATAATTACCATATGACGATGGGCCTTGGCCATCTTTCCAAGAACTAAAGCCGGTGACTCCCTACGCCCCCGCACTCATCAGAATATTCCCAAGGATGGCCGAAGTCAACAGAATGTGTTTTCATTCTTCTATATTACTAGGGGGGCTTTGCCCTCTTTCTCGCTACGCTAGCGAACCATCCTGTGTGCAATCATAGGTTAGTCCTTACAAGGACCTCAATAATGTCTTTTGAAGGCTTTAGAAGGTCTCTTTCAAAGTCTTTACAAACCCTTAACATGCTCGTATAATACAGATAATGAAACACTTTGAAACTCTTAAACATTTAACTAAAGTTTCGAAAATTTCAACGCCAACCATCCTAAATCAACCAATCAAACCAAATACAAATAAATTTAAATAACAGTTTTGGAAAACAAATTGATATATTGTTTATATACAGTAAACTTTATTATTACATTGATTTTTATTAAATTACAAATGCATTTAGGTGTTTACCGCAAGATCATGTGGGAAAGACACTAAAAAATAAATAAAAAAATATAAGAACTCATAAGTATTATAAAAAAATTTATTTTAAACTTACTTTAATTTTTATTTATTTGTTTGTTTAAACCTATAACAAGTATTGAAAAAATTCATACAAGTTCTACGTATTCTAGACTATCAAGAAAATTGAATTTCATTGTGACCTCTGCATTTTATTACTACGCCCGAACACTTGATTGGCTCGGGAACTGCAATTTTTTCGCGTTCATTTTGCAGTCCAAACCAAAATATTACTACTAAGCTTGTACATCATATATATTATAATGTTGATTCTATACACATAACATTGAATTCTTGGCCGACTTCCTTACTTCATACCAAGGTAATCATTTTAGGTGCTTTTTCTTTCATAAAAATATTATCTACTTTTGTAGAACGGACATGCTTACAATGTATTTATGTAGGTACTCTTGCCGAAGAAGTAGTAGCTTGATTTTTATTTCCAACAACATTTGTTATATTTTTTTTTGGAAAAAAAAAATGATTTTTTCAACACATATCTTAAGTAAATATTTTTTCTTCCAAAGTAAATTCACCTGTCTATCCTGAAAACGTCACTATCCTATCTTTAATAAACAAATCACTTTAAGTGAAGCCAAAATAAAACGATTCTGGTTGGTTCGACGAAAATAATATAATTATATGGGTTGGTACAAACGGGTTTGTTACGTTATTGGTAAGTATAGTGCTTGAAGAGCATGGGAGTTGGTCTAATTATATTTAAGCATACTTAACCTTATTGAATTACTGTAAATATAATTTTTTTCAAGGAGTTACTTAAAATGTTATTTTAAAAGTTTCAGGAAAAGAAAAGCTGTAAATTTTTTCAAATGGTAATTAATTTACTAGAAAAGGGTCTTGATTCCAGAACTTACGATTCGCGAGCTAAAATTTTAGCAGATATTTTTCCAATTGAAAACTCGTTTTTTGATGATAATAGTATATACCATAAGGAGATAATTTTGTCTGTTTTGTCAATAACAGTACATGCCCTGTATTCGAATCACAAGAATCTGTAGAAAACAACTTAGTACAAATAGGTATGTTCAATAACATCTACATACCATGGAAAACTAAAGATATGTGAAAAGTTTGGATGGTTTAAGCATTTACATTCTTTAAAATTTATATATATGTATATATATATATACGTATGACAAGATTGTTTTTTCTTCGTCACAGGAAAGTAAGAATAGAAACGTACAGCAAACGTTTTAAATTGGGTCGAGATACTTAGTTAAAAAAAGAAAAAAAATGAATCATGAAAGGTTTTTCTCAAACGAAACTAGATGATTTTGCAGTACCGACAGCTCTCAGGTGTCTTCTAAAATCAAGATAAACTTTTCGCACAACCGAGAAAAAGAAAGTCGTGCTGATGACTCTCTCGCCCGTTGCCTATATACTTACCCTCTGCAATTAGATTTACCCAAGGAGGAGGAGGAGGAGGCCCCGTGATAACGAATC